TAACCTAAAATTTTTCTTTCAGGATAAAGATACCTTCACCCATACCCAGCAGGAAGCAATTTCAAGAATACGACGCCCACATTCCCAAAGAGGTGGTGTGGAGTGGTTGGTTTTTTTGGTCTTTTAATGGGTTTTGGGTCTGGGATAATTTTCATTGATTAGGGGGTTGGTTACAAGTTGTTGTCAAGGGTTAGGAAAAAGGCTAAGCAAAGGAGATTAGATTTAAGGTTCTTATTAAAAAAAAAAAGAAAGAAAGAAAAGAAAAATGTAAATACTTTACATTGGATTGGATTGTTTTATATTGTATACAAATTATATATATTGAAATTGATATTGTTAGAAAATGTTATATATATTTTTCTAATTGTACCGTTCATCTAACAATGTAATGCAATTTTCTGATCCTTGAATGTTATTACCAACTATTAGGATATAAAGAAATGAAAGTTAGTAGTTAGATATTATAATAGAACTTGTAGTTATATTAGGTATGTTTTCAAGATTGAGTAGATATATTTTAGATAGACAGGTTATCTTCAAACCCTTCAGAGATCTACAGAATATGGCATTTAAAATGTTTTAATTACTTAGAAAATTTTTCTTTTTTGTTATGACTATGAGACATGTCGGCTCCTGGCAGTACCAATCTACTTCAGAGAAAATATGGGCATTGAAGAAACTGCATATGGAGTTAACTTTCATTGTGGCAAAAGTTAGCCACTGGACAACAAAGTATCCTCGAATCAACAGGACAAAATGGACAGACAGGACATAAAACAAAGGATTACTGATTCTTGCCAAAACAAGTGTGGTTATGGCTTTATCAAAAGGCATCTTCAGAGGCCAGGACAATATGGCACCATCCCTGAAGTGGCCTTCGCAATTCGAAAAAGGTACAGTGCCCTTTTCTTCGAAGGCAGCTGAACAGGCAGTGGGCCGATGGCCTCTGATGTGCAATGGAACAGCAGCTGAAACAGTTATTCTTGAAGAGTAACTAAGCTCACGCCTCTCAATAGTAGACTGGCATTTGATGGAGGGATATGGAGAAGAATGGGATGCTGAGATGAAGCCATATATACACAGCCAAGAAGAATGGACAGCTGAATTAAAAAACCATCAACAATTTCCAGAATTTAAAATCCTGAATCATGACATGACACTAGTGGAATTCAGGTGTTTCTGGTACATGGACTACTCTCACTCAATGTGAGGCTGAACTGTTGACCTTGTGTACATCCTACTTCACAAATGAGTCTGTCAGATATGCTAAGCCTATAGGCTGAAGATGATGCCCCAGCACTTCGGAGAAACCTCAGGTGACTGTCCAGACAGCTGTCTGTTTCTGTCAACTCACAAATTTTTTGGAAGTTGCTTATGTGCACTTCCTGTTTTTATTTTTGTTAGCTAATATTATTTCCTTCTTGGGTCTCTGAGGGAGTTGAAGATTAGTTAGTTATAGTTGAAGGTTAGTTAGTTATAGTTGAAGATTAATTAGGATACATTTTGGACTTACCAAAATAGGATAGATAATGAAATTATTTTCTCTGAATTTGTCAAATACAAATGGACTAGACATTGTTTAGGTATTTATTACTTGTATATATTGTATATAGTTATTGTACTTTTGTATATAGTTTTTCTTATATTAGTTATAAGCTTTTTCTTTTTTTTCCTTTTTATTAAAATAGAAAAGGGGAAATATGGTGATATTTTATTTGTATTAAAATGTTATTTGTATGTTAATAAATAAAGTTGCCCGGGGGTCAGAGCTATTAGCAAGCCATAGGAAAGCAGGGCAGTGGTAGCGTACGCTTGTAATTCCAGCACTTGGTAGGCAGAGCTGGGTAAGTCTCTGTGTGTTCAGGGATACAGCCATTATTGGATACACATGCCTTTAATCTTAATACCAATCATGGAAAACCTGGAGGCCTATACAGACAGGCTGTGAGGAGGCGGTCATGTGGTTGGGTTTACAACCAATGAGAAGGCAGGACAGGAACTCTATATAAAGACTTTAACACAGGGGTAGCTCTGGTTCGGAGAGGTAGGACCACCGCAGGAGGAAGGGTAAGGTTTTAGCTCTTAGCTCTGACCTCTTGGCTTTCTTCTTTGCATTGGTTCTGTGTTTATTATTTAATAAGAAGGTTGGCTACATCTACAGAAAGGGCTGTAGGATCTGTCTAGGGGATCAGAAGAGCTGGTGGTGGGAGTACTCTTTGGGAGTGTGCATGGATTTTTTTTTACGGGGTTGGTTATCAGACCTAGATGAGGAAGAGCGTGTAGGAAGTGATGAAGGAGAGGGGTGAGCAGCCCAGACACTAGCTGCATGGAATTAATGGAGGGAACATCATGGAAGAAGGGGTAGAAAGATTGCAAGAGCCAGAGGACCAAGGCATTTGCTCTGAGATTGTATCCTCTGTATATGATGAGGAAGTTGCACCCATGAAATCTCAACAATATTGGCTTAAGCAAGACCTGAACAGTGATAGGACCAGTTGCCATGTTAGTGTGGATAGGGGAAATCTTACAAGGCTCCACCCTACATGAAGAGCTGCAAGTAAGTATTAATGACTGATGAGAGAGGGAGATTGGGTCTTTCCTGGGATCTCGATCTCCCTCCCTTCCCCCCTCACACACACCACACCCCAATTTTAAAAAGAGGCCATGAATTTGAGTGGGGACATGGGAGGGGATCGAGGGAGGAGAAGGAGGTGAAAATGATGTAAATACAGTATTCATATATGAAATTCTCAAAAAATATTTATGAAAGAATGATAGGAGGGTGTAGGAAGTTAAGGGCTGGCATAGCAGGACAGGCACAGGGCAGTGGTGTGGAACCTAGAACAACTGGAACTGTGGAAGCCATGGTGCTCACTAGGCTAATATTGCTAGGATCAGCTCTCCAAAAAGTGACTTGTAGATTGAATGCAATCCTAATTAAATCCTAGCAAAGCAGTGTTCTAACTTCTGTGGCAATAAACAAACTTAGACTATGTAAAACAAACAACAGCGACTCACACAATATCTGATTTTAAGACGTACATAACTACAGTAATGAAGAGATTATAATGTAAAATAGACTAATTGTCTTAGCCAGCTCTGATACAATAGCAAAGTACCATTGACTTGACGGCATAAACCACAGACATTTATGGCTCATAGTTCTAGAGTCTGGGAAGTCTAAGATTAAGGTGTTAAAAGATTCCACTCTTGGTAAGGACTCTCTTCCTGGCTTGTGCATGATTATCTTCTTACGGTAATCTTACATGGTAGAGAGAGGAGACACTGAAGTTTCTTCTTAGAAGGGTACTGACCTTATTACCAAGGCCCCAAACCCATGACCTCTTTGAAGCATAATTATTCTCAAAGGCTCCATCTCCCAACACTGTCCCTTTGTGGGACAGGACTTCCAAATATGACCAGAGGTATGGGGACAAGTATTCAGTCCTTTTCAATGAGTGATGTGATGCTATCAAGAATGCAGAAATAGATTCATATACATATGGCCACTTGACTTTCCACAAAGGCACCAAGGTAATTCAATGGGGAAAAGACTGTCTTGGCAACTGTGGTACTGGGCAAATGGAATATCCATCCAGAACAATTTTTTAATTGACCTCACACAACACACAAAATGGGTTAGAGAGCTAAACCTAAAAGGTAAAACTACAGACTTTCTATAAGGACTGAAAGGGGGTTTTCACCTGTGTGGTATGGCCCTATTGCAGAGGATGGATGGGATGAAGGTGGCAGTTGCTTCTCTAGCAATGCCAAGGTGTCAGTGGGGCAAGTCAGTGGGTTAACATTGGTCTAAGTCTTCAGGCTGAGCAAAATGCTTTTTGAAACTCTCACATGACTCTGCACAATAGAGATAAATGTATAACCTGTAACTTCCTACCCTTTTCTTTCCTTTTCTCCACTAGATTCATTCAATTTTGTTAGGTTCCCTGGGGCACCTTGAAATTTAGAGGGAAAATCTAGAAACTAAGTATGATACAAGTTTCATTTTAATTTTACAGTGTGGGCTGTTTGGTGTTAAAGGGAAACCATCTTTTAATTCTCCCAATTTCTCCCCAAATTGATTAGTAGAACTCTTCCCTGATAGGAAACAAGAGCAGGTTGGTAACTTGCTATGGCTACACAGTTCCCAGAGTAATTAGAGTTCATATATAGGCTGTTTTCAGTCCTAGCATCCTTTGACTTAAAAAGAGTTATTTAATAGTCTGTGTGAAGGAAGAAGGGGAGAATGTTCTGCACTAAAAGGAGAGAATGTTCTGCATTCAAAGCTGAGTGTTGTGGCACATGCCTAGTCCTGCACTCCAGAGGTGGAGGCAGTATAATTACTTGACTCCAGGAGTTCAAAACAAGCCCAGGCAACATAGGGAGACCCCACCTGAAAAATAAAACAAATTGAAACCCAACCCAAACAAACAAAACAAAACCCCAAGGCTATCAACAACAAAATCCAAGTCATGAAATATTCTATAGGCAAACATAAGATAATATCTTAGTGACTTTTTTGTTGTTGTTAAGAGTTCTTAACTGTGGCCCAAAAATACAAGCTAAAAATTTAAAATACATATTCTGGAAGAAAATAATTGTTAAAATGTATTTGATGATGAACTGATGTCTATAATTTTTTGTAAGAATACAAACAACTCAATTAAAATGGGCAAGAGAAAGGAAATGTGAATGGCCAACAAGTACATGCAAAGATGTTCAATGTTTTAGTCATGAAGGAAATGCAAATCAAATCCACAATGAGTTGCAACTTCCCACACACTAGGATGGTTACACTAAGAGAGACAACAATAAGTGTCGATGAAGGTGGGGGAAATTGGAACTCTCATACAACAGCTATTGGGGATATGAAATAATGCAAACGCTTTGGAAAAGTTTGTCAGTTCTTCCCAAAAGTTAAACAATGTGTCACCATATGAACCAGCTCTTCCACTCCTAGCTATGTGCTCGAGGGAATTAAAAACACGTTCACACTGGAATGTGCATACAAATATTCATAGAAGCTTTATTTGTCTCAAATCAGAAAGAATGTAAATATTAATTAACAGGCATCAACAGATATTGGGGGCATGTGTACAATGGGCTAAATAAAAAGTGTGGATATACACACAAACACCTGGAAACATCTAAAAATGGCACTGAGAGGCCAGACAAACACTGTGAAAGTCCATTTATACAGAAGTTAATCATTAGTGATGGAAAGCAGAGGCTGTAAGGACAGGGGACAGGGAAGAGCAGAAAGGAGAAGTTATTGGCTAGGATGCTGAATGTTCCACCGACTTGACAGTAAGGATGGTTTTAAGGGTACAGACACCCATCACAATCCATCCACAATTGCACACTTTAAGCTGTATATACCCCTATCTATCTACCAAAGAACGTTAATGAGTCAGGAGCTTCCAAATGCACAGTAAGCCTTCATTACTGCTCTCAACATTCTCAGGTGATGGAGAGGGAATAGGCTTAACCCTATTGAACACAAAAAGAGGCACTGTTCTTGCAAATGTGCAAGGCCTTGAACTTGATGCTACTTTTAATATAAGAATGTAAGAATCTGCAGAAGCCAGGCATGGTGGCCCAAATTTGTAATTCCAGCACTTAGGACGTAGAGGCAGGGGGGTTAAGAGTCAAAGGCCAGTCTGGGTTACACAGGCTTAAAACAACATCCCCCCAAAGAAACCTCCTCACAAAGAAAGTGTCCAGGAATCTCAGAGGGCCATTGTTTTGTGGAATCACAGATGAATTGGCGCTCACAAAAACATGAAGTCAGGGCAAGTGGGGACTCAGAGGAAGGTGGGTGGGTAGGATCCCTTGATTCCTTCCTCTTCTTCCACACTACCTCTTCATGGCTTGTTTCTATATGGCTATTTCACAGACCTCAAAACTATCTAGATGGCCATAGTGGCTGGTGAGGTGTACGCTCACACCCCATAGCAGTTCTCATTAACACTAACTTCATTTCTTGTTTAGAAAAATTGGTCTTCATCTGGGACCAGCTATAGAGTCTGACTTTCTACATATGGCACCCTGGGTGCTCCATACTCTAGAGTAACTGAATTCCTGACTCAGAACTGTCCTAGAGAAACTTGTGTGTATTCTGGGATTCCCTAATACTATACTCCATCCTCTCCACCCCCAACCAAGGCACTTTTCAGCAACCACCCCCACCCCCCAAACACACACATGAAATCCCTATATTCTACTCCCTGTCTGGAAAGCTGCAAGGGTGGATGCTTCCATGCTGCCTGAAACTTGGTAGCAGAAAAAAACAGAAGGCAAGCATAGTGGTGCCTCTTAGGAGACTGATGGAGTTTTCTGATACGGAACCTGTTGGGCAGGCCTGGTCTCAGAGTTGCAGTATGGGGTCCTATGAGAAGCTTGCACCCTGAGCAGACTAAGCCAAGCCCTCCCACATGGGAAGCAACCCCTCCTCAATAACCCTAGCATCACTCTAGGCTCTTTCTAGGTCAGAGTTGACTCTTGCTTGTAACCTTGAATCCACTACCTGTCTGTTTACTTTAATCCTGGGGACAGCCCCTCTCCACATGGGGGAGTGTGGTGATATATTGTGTACCCTAATAAAATTTGCCTGAAGATCTGAGAGGCAAAGGAACAAGCCACTACCATGTCTTACCTCTAGGACTCCTCAGCCTGAAAAAGCCCTTAGTTCCTGTCTCCTCATACCTTATATACTTTTCTCTACCTAGCCATGTGGTTCCTAGTACTGGGATTAAAGGTGTGTGCCACCACTGCCTGGCTCTGTTTCTCTCGGAGACTGAGTCAATCTCATGTAGTCCAGGGTGGCTTTGAACTCACAGAGATCCAGATGGATTTCTGCCTCCCGAGTGCTAGGATTAAAGGTGTGTGCCACTACTGCATGGCCTCTATGTTTAATCTAGTGGCTTGTTCTGTTCTCTGATCTTCAGGCAAATTTTATCAGGATACACAATATATCACCATAGGGGAGCCCCTTTCCAAGTAGCTGTCTTTTTTCAACCAACAAAAATGTTGAAAATTCCACCTCATGATAAATTCAGAGAGGACCATCTATTAGTTTCCTGGAGAGACTGCTAGGACATTCACACAGCACCTGAAAAGCACCCAAAGTCTTAAAAGGCAAATAGTCCAAAGGTAAAGTATGGGGGGCAGGGCAAGAAGATGAGGAACTAGAAAACAGCAGGAGTTTTGATAGTTTAAGGTTTTATAATCTAGTTGCCCCTTACAAAAATGAGTGATCAGCCCCATTCCCGATCCAGCTTGATAGATGAAGCACAATTTTCAGGCACAAAACAAATGTCCCTCTGGTTACTCTGACTTTATTCCAGGAGAAACCTGTTCTGTTCATTTTACATGCCTCAGAGAACTAACTACTCCTAACTGCCTGGCTGAAAACATCTAGGAACAGGAACTAGAGAACTGACAAAGAGATGTGTTGTTATGTATGTAGGCAACCACCGTGACCCTGGAGCATCTCAGGGTACTCTACTCTGAAGTGCTCTACATCTCTCCCTGCAGACCCTACTTTCTGCTGAAAATGCCTGCACATGAACCTTCCTGTAGGGACTTATCCTTGGGTATAGGAGCTGGTGACTGGCTTGGAGGATAGGTATCATTCATTCACTTCATAGACATGGAAATGAACACCCAAGAGCATATGACAGAGCTTGCACAGAGCCTCCTACTGTGGGCACCTGCTCTGCATGAGGCCTAGTTTCCTGTATCTGTGCCAGCCCTAGCAGAGATTGTCCGAGCAATTACTTCACCAGAGACTTAAAAGACACCGTTCTTAGTATTTTTTTTTCTATTGGGAAACCAAAGTGACAGATACTCTGAACTGCCTCCATGAGCCACTGAAGCCAACCAGTACATAGCTCAAATCCAGCATACCAAGAAAGCAGTACCCAGTGTGGGGCTTGGAGTGCAGACACAAGGCTGAGCATGGCACACATCTGCAGGCTCCCAGACAGGAAAGCAATCACAGGACAAAAAGATGGGGATCGACTGGAGGACACATAGATAAGAGCAAGGTACAAACTGGAACTTTACACAAAACATTTTATATACATAAAGTCTCTCTCTCTCTCTCTCTCTCTCTCTCTCTCTCTCTCTCTCTCTCTCTCTCTCTCTCTCTCTGTGTGTGTGTGTGTGTGTGTGTGTGTGTGTGTGTGAATATTCTTGTGACCAGGGCTCCAACCAGCATCCTGGGTTTCCAGGTCTTCCCATATTCTCTTGGCAGGATGCAGCTGTCTTTTAACCTCACTCAACTGGCAGGGAAGGTGCCACTACTCTTCCTTGGAGTGCCCAAGAGCTGTCTCCACTTCACCTGTACCACCAACCTACCTACCCTCAGGCAGCCTTTGTGACAAAATCTTTCTCTCCGCTGGGATAGGAGAGAGCTGGAGAGTAGCTTGCTACCAAGGATGCTGAGCTTAGTATACCAAGGGACAGATCTCCTGGGGACAGCACAGGTGGAAGGTGGAATAGGACTGCCACTGGCTTCTTTTTTCAGTAAAGTGCCACTTAAAGAGCCACCTGGGCTTAAGGGAAGGGAGGTGGGGGTTGTCACATCATCACTCAGAGGGCCAGGTTTGCCACTACTGGCATCAATCATGGGTTGGGAAGGCCTCTTCCCCCTGTCTGAGCTTTTCTTGGGGCAGGGGCAGGAATGGCTCACAGGGCCTGTGGTCTGCTAGGCATACACTCCACCTCTGAGCTACACCCTCTGTCTGAGGAATTTTTATAAAAGATAAATCCTCCATCACTCTCCTATAACAAAAAATCTCCATTTTCAACTAATGTTACCCCCAAATGAAAGCACATTAAAGTAATGGCAACTTTAATATTTTAAGAAATATCATCTGAAAGATAATTGTCTGGCCAGACTCATTTCAGCGGCCACCTAAGTGCAAATTCCTAACCTGTCATCACCACACAGTGGGTTGCCTGAAAGGGATTAGCAGACAATTTGAAGCTTTAGGCACTGGGGCATGGGGTAGGAATGGCCAGTATGGCCTTCACTGAGTGCTAGAGGAGGAAACTGAAGTCAGCAGGGCAGTGGGGGTTCAAATGCTGCCATGTCTTACCTAGACCCTCTTCCCATGAGGGACGGGGGGGGGGGGGGGGGGGGGGGGGGCTCCTTTCCCAAAAAGGAGGCCCTCAGGGTTTCTGGGCCTTAACCTCTGCAAGATTTGGTACAGACCTCCAAGCAGCAGTAGGGGGCACATACATAGGGTCCAAGTTTTCACAGACAGTCTAGCTTATGCTCCAGGACAATAGGTGCCCCTGTGCTTTCCTGCAAAGCATCAGGCTAACTTTAGAGTCCCTTCAATTTATAAACTTTTAATAGAATAAAGTGTTTTTAGTATATTCTATCTAGAAACACAAACAGCTCTTAAGGAGAGGCAATCACCCCACTAACATGTTAACAAGAGAAAGGTCATGGGTCATCCCTCTGTAAACTTCAATGTAACTGTGCTTAGAGTTGGCTGGACACTGTTGCTTCCCTCCCAACCACATCAGGCAATTCTCACATGGATAGGAGAGACCAAGTCTGTATTATGCAAATCTGCTCACCTGGAGACCCCACTCACATAGGCACTTATACCCCAAGCACACACAGGAGTACCCTGCCTAGGCTCCTTGAGGAGCCTTCCTGTGCAATCTCTAGGCATCAACTGTATCATCAAGAACTAGGGAGGAGCCTTCCTTTTCTACCCATCAGGGAAGGAGTAGGGAAGACTACACTAGGTGGGTGGGGCCACCCTGCCATTCTGAGTTGCTGCCCTGTATTCCTGCCTCAAGGTGAGGATGGGCCCTGAGCCTTCTCAGCATACAGGAAACTTTCACTGCTTTCCCTGTTGCTTCCCTCTGCGAGCTGGGATTCCAGATCCTGGCTGAGCAGCAACCTCTCCTCCGAATCTGAGGTGCTCCCAGTAACTGCCTTCTGTTTCTTGTCATCTTCATCGTCGTGGATGCGCAAATGGCGACACAGCAGCAATTTGTTTTCGAAGACATGGCTGCAGCGCTCACACACTTGAGGCTTGTCATTGGTGTCAACGGGCTGGGGCTCCGTGGAGCTGCCTTCCCCAGCTTCCTGGGGTGGAAGTCCTCGGGGCTCGCGCCAATGCTCCTGGAGCATGCAGCCCCGGTGGAGGCCCTTTCCGCGGCCTCGACGCTGGAGCCGTACCCCGCCATGCACTACCTGGTGCTTGAAGAGGTTGGCCCGGCGACCAAAGGCACGGCCACATTCGCTGCACTCGTAGGGCTTCTCGCCGCTGTGCACTCGCTGGTGTTGGCTAAGCCCCGAGTGACCGCGGAAGGCCTTGCCGCACTCGCGGCACAAGAAAGGCCTGTCGCCACGGTGGCTGCGCTGGTGATGGATGAGCTGCGAGATGCCCTTGAAGGCCTTGCCGCACTCCTGACAGACGTAGGGCTTCCGGCCACTGTGGGTGCGCTGGTGCTCGATAAGGTTGGAGCTGCGGCTAAACGTCTTGCCGCACTCGCTGCACTCATAAGGCCGCTCACCGCTGTGGATGCGTGCATGCTCAAGCAGCGCGAAGCTCCGCCGGAACACCTTCCCGCACACTCGGCACATGAAAGGCATCTCGCTGCTGTGGATGATCTGGTGCTTGACAAGGTTGGAGCTGCGCGTGAAGGTCTTGCCACACTCCCCACACTCATAGGGCTTGTCACCGCTGTGGATGCGCTGATGCTCCAGCAGCGCCAAGCTGCGCCTGAATAACTTCCCGCACTCGCGGCATTCGTATGGTTTCTCGCCACTGTGGACGATCCGGTGCTTGATGAGATTGGAGCTGCGGCTGAAAGATTTTCCACATTGCTGACACAGATACCGCTTATCCGCGATTCTGGAGTGCTGGTACCTTACAATGGGATTTGGTCTGAAGTCGTGAGTATGTGTCTGCACCAAAGATCCTGAGGTGTCTCCGAGGAGACCTCTTCCAAAAAGTTTCGGCTTTGAAGTCAGCGTCTTGCTCTTTATCCCATTCCCTGTAATGACAGAGCCACAAACAGGATCACTTCCTTGGGTTTTTGTGGAGCATTCCCTCTCTTTTGATCTTCCCACCAAGGAACTGGGGAATAAAAATACAAAAATAAAAATACAAATAAAAACACCAAAAAAAAACCAACAACCCCCAAAAAACCCACCATAAAAGAGCTTCTGCGCCGGGCGGTGGTGGCGCATGCCTTTAATCCCAGCACTCGGGAGGCAGAGCCAGGCGGATGTCTGTGAGTTCGAGGCCAGCCTGGGCTACCAAGTGAGTTCCAGGAAAGGCGCAAAGCTACACAGAGAAACCCTGTCTCGAAAAACAAAAACAAAAACAAAAACAAACAAACAAAAAAAGAGCTTCTGCTCTTTCTAGAGGGTGTGACTGGAAAGTGGGGTGGAGCTGGTGGGAGACACCAGGGCAGACAAAGTCTCTTTTCACCCATCTCCAGCAAGGGAGGAGAGCATTGGGGAGACTGACAGCCCTCACTAAAGAGTTTCAGCATCCACACCACCTTCCTTAGGCTAATCCTTGATTTTTATCCTTGACACTAGCAAGCTGGCTGAGGGAACCTTGCTCACCAGGACAGGATCCTGCTGCAGTCCCCATTCCACCATCTGTAATCCAGGGCTTCTCCCCTCTTTCCAGCTGGGACACAAGGTTAGGCTTAGAGAAAGCAAATCCTGTTCAAAGAAATGAAGAAAATCAGCACATTTCTAGCTAAGGACAGAATAATTTTTAAACAGAGTTCAGCCTGTGCCTTCAGAGAGCAAAGAACTCCCCAGAAAGTATAGCCAAGGAAGATTCCCCCCTAGTCATGTGCTTTGGGGCAGCAAGTTTTCTCACTAAACTCAAGTGAGAATTCCAGAAGTCTTATGGGAAGATGTGTCCCCAACTTTCTCTTGATAGTCAGAGAGAACCCAGTAAAGGAACTAGTCTCCCTCCAAGGAGTCAGATGACAGAGGTAGTCTGTAGAGTCAGAAAGAAAATGGAAGAGGGCTCATTCTCACAAATCCCTACCCACCTCAAAGGCAGTCTGTGGGCCATCTCAGCTAGGAAGATGCCAGCAGAGGAAGACCCTGGCTTAGACACTGTTCATTAGATGAAAAAGTTGGGACACATTACTCTTGTTGTTCACTTCTTGGTGCTTTTGAGTTGATCCACACAATCTGTGAATCTTGGTTTTGCCCGGAACTGGCAAGATGAACATCCTCTTGCAGATGCACAAATATGGAGGATGGAGCACGTTGAAGTAAGAAGAGAGCAGCTGGAAGTTGCCCCAGCTCCTGCCTAGATTTCTCCAGGCTTGGAAACCAAGTGCACTGCCTGGCCCTAGCATGGGGACTTATGGCCAGTGTAAGTGGAAGATGTTGTTAATGTCTATAAGTTGAGTTGAATGTCAAATACAGCTGCTGTAAAAATGAAATGAGTCTACAATGCTGCAAGTAAATGTTCCACTGTAAGAAGCATCTGTTTCTCAATAGAAAGATGTTTTGGCAATTTATGATTTTATGTGCAAAATGAGTCTGACAGGTCATCACTGAATTTATCCTGAGCATTTACAAGTCCAAATTATTTAGAAGAATGTCTTTTTGATACCACAGCTGATCTACAAGGTATGGGTCAAATAAAGAAATGTACTTATTCTTGGATTCATAGCAATTAACAAGCAAGAAAATTCAGAACTGAATCCAGAGACAGTAGGTGGGACTGGGTGTGTGAACATGGTAGGGTAACTTACCCACTGACACCAAGTGGCTGTAGTTCTCCAGCATCACCTGCTTATAGAGATTCCTCTGTTTGAGATTCAGAAGCTTCCATTCTGTCTTTGTAAAGTATACAGACACATCCTCAAAAGATACTGGTACCTAAAACAAGCAAATTTTGTGGTAGGAAATTAAATTCCAGGTTAAGCCTACATGCAAACAATGAAACATGGGATAACCCTGCCTCAGCAGTCAGGAGAGATTCAGCAGCAAGTTGTACTGTCACAGGAAAGAGGATCAGACAGATATGGAAAACCTAGCAAAGAGAACTCAGTAAAGTAGCATGCCGCAGGGGTTGGGGGGTGGCAAAGTTCTCTCCTCAACTCGCCAGGATCCATGCAGAGCAGCAAAGGGAGACTGCTCAGGGAAAATTCTGGGACAGTGAGGGAGAGGTTGATTACTTACCTTGGGCTTTGCTCTCAGAAGAATAGCCGCCATAGTCAGGGCTCCAACCACAGCGCAGCTGAAAGGCTGAGAGAAGTGCAAAGATAGTGACATCAGGCTAGCCTGGTGCAGCCAACCTCAGCTTGCTTCAAAACCTGGTTTATTTTTCTTGCCAAATAGTAGCATGGCAAGGCAAGGCTGTGGTGTGTGTGAGTGAGATATGTCCCAAAGAAAGGGTGGATTTCTTCTTCAGAGGTAAGTTCCTGCACCCTCCTTGTAGGCAATGGGTTTTCTCACTCTGGAAGTTTCACCTAGGCACTGGTCACCACACTTTCCTTACAGCTTGATGGAGCCACTGCAACAAAGTACCACTGGCTGGAGAGGCGCTTAAAACCACGCATGCACATTTTCTCCCAGTTCTGGAGGCTGGAAGCCTAAGATCTGGGTGCTGGTGGGTCCTCCCTTCATCCTGAAGGCTGCTCTTCTTGCCACTATCAGCCATTGAGTGGTATCCAGTGATCTTTGACTTGTAGCTGCATCCTTCCAATCCTTTCCTGAACCTTCACATGTCTGTCTTCTCTATGTGCACTTGGATCCAAATTTTCCTAGTCTTACATGACACTATTCATTGGATTAGGGCCCACCTTACTTACATTTGCCAAGCCCTACTAAATAAAGGTATCTTCCCAGGAAGTTGGGAATGAGACATCAAACTATCATTTTTTAGAGACACAATGCAATTCAGCTCTCAACACATTCCCAAACTTAGTTTTCAGGCTTTTCATTTCTTATTGAGCAGGCCAAAATCCAGGGATCACATACCAACCTTGCACACATGTCAGGGACCCCTGACCAGCCTTCTAAAAGAGCCTGTTCTTTCTCTTTATCATTTCCTTCTTTTTAAAAATTATTTTACTTATTTTATTTTGACTGCATGTATATTTAAGTACCATGTGTGTGCAAGGTACCTGAGGAAGCCAGAAGAGGGTGTCAGATCATTTGGGACTGGAATTACAGATAGTTGTGAGTCACCATGTCGGTTCTGGGAATCAAACCCTCATTCTCTGGAAGAGCAGCTAGTGTTCTAAATGCCTGAGCTGTCTTCCCAATCCCTGTCACTTCCTTCTTTTCTTAAATCCCTTTCTTCTGCCCATCATTCCGTCCCTCCAACTTTCCAGACATTCCTGGAAGCTCCATTTATGGGTTCATCTTCCTTTAATGTCTGGATCCATGTTAAAAAAAAAACCCAAACACACATAAAACCTCCAGGTGTAGAGTAAGAGCTGCTAGTGAACAGAAAGAGAAGAGTGGGCCATTGTGAAGCACAGTGGAATGGGATCTATAGGAGATGGGTAGGGGCACACTGACGAGAGGTGATGTTAGGCTGAGAGTGGAGATGTGGTTGCAAGGGAACACAGGCAATAAAAGGCCCAGACACATGCCTCTCCATCAGTGGTGTTTGTGTTGCTAAGAACTGAGGTGATTGTGGTGATATATTGTGTATTAAATAAAGCTTGCCTGAGGATCAGAGGGCAGAGCTAGCCACTATATTAAACATAGAAGCCAGGCAGTGGTGGCAAATAGATCCATATCTGCCACTGTGCACAAAACTTAAGTCCAAGTGGATCAAAGACCTCAACATAAATCCAGTTACACTGAACCTGATAGAAGAGAAAGTAGGAAGTAGTCTTGAATGCGTTGGCACCAAAGACCACTTCCTAAATATAACACCAGTAGCACAGACACTGAGAGAAACAATCAATCAATGGGACCTCTTGAAACTGAGAAGCTTTTGTAGAGCAAAGGACATGATCAATAAGACAAAAAGACAGCCTACAGAATGGGAAAAGATCTTCACCAACCCCACATCTGACAGAGGGCTGATCTCCAAAATATATAAAGAATTAAAAAAACTAGACATCAAAATACTGAACAATCCAATTAAAAAATGGGCTACAGAGCTTAACAGAATTCTCACAGAAGAATCTCAAATGGCTGAAAGATATTTAAGGAATTGCTCAACATCCTTAGTCATCAGGGAAATGCAAATCAAAATGACTCTGAGATACCATCTTACACCTGTCAGAATGGCTAAGATCAAAAACACTGAAGACAATGTGCTGTGGGATGTTCTTTATGGCAAATGTGTTGCTCTGATTGGTTGGTAAATAAATCACTGATTGGCCCGGGGCCAGGCAGGAAGTATAGGCGGGACAAGGAGGAGAATAAAGCTGGGAAGTGGAAGGCTGAATCAGAGAGACACTGCCAGCCGCCACCATGACAAACAGCATGTGAAGATGCCGGTAAGCCACGAGCCATGTGGCAAGGTATAGATTAATGGAAATGGATTAATTTAAGCTGTAAGAACAGTTAGCAAGAAGCCTGTCACAGCCATACATTACAAGCAATATAAGTCTCTGTGTTTACTTGGTTGGGTCTGAGTGGCTGTGGGACTGGCGGGTGACAGAGATTTGTCCTGACTGTGGGCCAGGCAGGAAAACTTTAGCTACAACAATGTATATTGGAGAGGATGTGGAGCAACACTCCTCCACTGTTGGTGGGAATGCAAACTTGTACAGCCACTTTGGAAATCAGTATGGCAGTTTCTTAGAAAATTGGGATTCAATCTCCCCCAAGACCCAGCTACACCACTCTTGGGCATATACCCAAGGAATGCTCAATCACACCACAAGGACACATGCTCAACTATGTTCATAGCAGCATTATTTGTAATAGCCAGAACCTGGAAATAACCTAGATGCCCCTCAATTGAAGAATGGATAAACAAAATGTGGTACATAGACACAATGGAGTACTACTCAGCAGAGAAAAACAATGACATCATGAGGTTTGCAGGCAAATGGATGGAACTAGAAAATATCACCCTGAGTGAGGTAACCCAGACTCAGAAAGACAAACATGGTATGTACTCACTCATAAGTGGATACTAGATGTAAAGCAAAGGATAACCAGACTGCAACCCACAGCTCCAGGGAGGCTAGCTAGTAAGGAGGACCCTAGGAAGGGTGTATGGATCACCCAATGAAGGAGAAATGGATGAGATCTACATGAGCAAACTGGAGGTGGGGGGTAATGAAAGGCAAGGGATGGGGGATGAGAGCTTAGGGGAGCAGGAGGTTCTATCTGGAATGGGAACAGAGTGGGAGAGCAAGGAAAGAGATACCAGGATAAATGAAGACACCATGGGAATAGGAAGAAGCAGAGAGCTAGGGAGGTCCCCAGGAATCCACATGAAAGACTCCACCATAGACTACTGGCAATAGTAGAGAGGGTACCTGAGCTGGCCTACTCTGGTGATCAGATGGCTGAATAACCTGTCATCATAGAACAACTCAGGCCTGCCCTGCCGAACAGGGCCCCTGCCTGTAAAGCCAGCACACGTGGTTGGAGCTTAAGGAAGCCAGAGCCAAGGCTTGACTCGGCTCAAGCCGGAACACATGGCTGGATTCAAGCTCTTAGGCAGAACTTGTGGCTGTGCTTGCTCTCTCTCTCTCTCTCTCTCTCTCTCTCTCTCTCTCTCTCTCTCTCTCTCTCTCTGGATTCACACCTTGGACACTAGGTGGCTGTTTTGAAATTACCTTGGATTTCTACTGTTCTACGCAGACTTGGTAAGTCAATTAACATATCAGATATTTTAAAGGAAACTATTTAAAAGAGAAATTTTTTCCACATTAAAAAATGGGTTTTCTGTTACATTGGAAGAAACTTGGGCTTTGTTTGCAATTTTAGGCAGTCTGACAATGGACCAACTATATGAGAAGATTAATGTTGATCGAATTATGCAGTTTATTACTATGCTTATCCTCTTTTTACTATTTAAAAAGATAGTCAATTTAAGTGCTAGGATGACAGTTTAGAAAAACTTGTTAAACCTGTAAAAATTCAGACAGAAGAAATTAACAGTGAAGTTGCTTCAAGATTGGATCATAAGGTTACAGAAAGAAAGCCTGTTTTCACACAGTCACCCTTAATTTGTCCAGTAACTGTACAGCAGTTGCCTAATCAAATGACTACACAAAATATTTGGGCTCCAATTGAAATGTTAGATTTACGAAGATTTAAGGAGGCAATAGTATCTTATGGCATGCATTCCTCATATGTAAAGCAAATGTTAAATTCTTGGTCAACATATAATAGGATTGTACCACAGGACTGGCAGGAGCTGGCACAAGCTGTTCTTGAACCCAGTCAAAGGCTTCACTGGCTAACTTGGTTCAAGGATGAAGCTAAAAACATAGAAAAACAATGGAGGGATAAAGGAATACAAGTCTGCCAGGATCAGCTTATTGGAGAAGGTCAATATGCTTCAGCACAAACACAATGTTTATATGATGTTCAAACCCTAATTTTATGTCGAATGGCAGCCTTGAATGCATGGGACAGAGTTGAGGAACCAGGAAAAAAAACTGAGTCATTTACAAAGGTTATACAAGGCCCAAAAGAATCTTTCACAGATTTTTTACAAAGACTGGCTTTAGCAGTAAAGAGAATGGTCCCGGTTTCAGAAGCTAGTCAGATAATAATTGAATCTTTGGCCTTTGAGAATGCGAATGCAGCATGCAAAAGAATAATCAGGCCGTTAAAGGCAAGATCTGCACCTTTGGAAAATTGGATTAGAGACACGGTTAATGTTGAGGCTCATGACCATGATGATATGTGGGTAGGAGAAGCAATTTCAAAAGGTTTGAGGAATGCTAGATGTTTTGGATGTGGAAAGCAAGGACATTTGAAAAGGGACTGTAAACAGGTCATTCCTAGAAACAATGTTTCTTCAAGGAACAATGGCAACAGAATGCCCCTTCCTTCTGGAGTATGCAGAAGGTGAGGTAAGGGAAAACACTGGACCAACAAATGTAGATCAACAAGGGACAGACAAGGTAATCCTTTGCCTCAGTCTTCGGTAAACTCCCAGAGGGGCCTCCTGCAGGCCCCCATAGCAAATCCAGTTCAAACCTTTCCTGCAGTCATAGAGGAAACCCCTACTCAGAGCAATTAAATAACCAAATGCTTATTGGAATAAATCATGCTGGTCGGGATGATGAAACAGAGAGAATAGAAAATTCAGG